AGATTTTGACTCTAGCCCTACATAATGAAGTTTAGGAGGGAGACAGCAGTTGTGTCCATAACCTCTCTTCTCTATTTTGATGCAATTTAACAGCACTGACAAGAAATTTATAAAAATACAGCAGAGATTTCTGGGTGAGTTCCCTGCAGAATCAAACAGGAGCCAGAGCAGTTTACAGTAATAAAAAGAAACAAGAATTATCACAGTATTTTGCAATTAGGTAAACAATACTTATAATTAAATTATATTGTGCATGAGCTAATATAAAGCTCAATGCTTCCCTAATACTACTTATATCAAAGTGAGAAGAAAGATGCCTTCCCTGTTAACAAATTTTAAAACTGTTGCAAAGGTGAAAAAGAACATGCTTTCTCACTAGACACTTTCTGCTGATGCATCTACAGATACTGTTTGTTTCCCCCAGGTGATTCTTCTCCACTGATGAGTGCCTGACAAACCAAGCTTCCTGAGGGACCTCTACTATGACTGTAAAATTGAGATGATACTGAAATCAGGAACAAGAAAATAGTGTGGAATGTGTTCTGCCACAACTTTATATAAATGCAAACTGGAAATTTTGCTCTAAGCATATTTACTGAGTTGTAAAATCTTATGATAGGTTTACATGATTTTTTAAATCTGTAATCATACACATAAGCAAAGCTATGAGATAGGAAGTTTTCATAGCTACAAAGTGTTGATGATCCTGTGAATGTGTGTATGAAAATGTTTAGGATGACTAGGCAGGGATAAATATGATTACATATATACAAGGAAGCTCCTCTGGTTCCCAGCAACATGGTTTTACAAAAGATTACAGGAGTTCCCAGAGTCTTGTCCAGGTAGATATCTTCTTGGTTATCTTCTAAAAACAATAAAAGGCTATTTTGCCAGATACTTGATAACTGTCTTATTTAAATAACATCATTAAAAAAAATAGTTAGAATACAAAATGAGATTAAATGACTCCAAGCCCTATTCCAGAAGAAAGGTGCCAGCTATGATGGAAGTGCTTTAAGACCAGAAACAGCAATGGTTCTCTTTGGCAGTATTTAATAATTTTTGAATCATCATGATGGGTGACACCAACAGGTTTGTTGGTACTTGCAGTGATTTACACATGGTCTCATCATTGAAGAATTTGAATGATGACTGCACATGCTATTCCTCTGATTACTTGGAAGATTAATTCTTTACTTGACAGTCTGGATGGCAATGAGCAGAAGCCTCTTTCAGCTCTTTAAAGTCTTACAGAAGGTGTGGTTATACACAGTATTTGGTTTTCTTGACAGCATTATTTGGAGAATACAACCAGGACGAACAAGGCTGATGACATACTAATCCCATTATCAGTTTTTAACAACATGGGAACAAAGTCCTAAATTATTTGACTGGGTTTGTTGGAATAGAAGCACTTTGAGGATTCTCATCTGCTAAATAGTCTTAGAACAACCAAGATATTAATTGGCAAGGATACTGATGAAATATGCTGATGTTACTCCTTTTTGAAGATATTGAGGCTAATTAAAATAGTCTGTTGTCTTGTGCTGTTTCTCTGTCAATAATGTTTTAGTTTTATTTAGAAATGTCAGCTGTTTCTTAACTGATCACACAATGCATCAAGATTTAATTAGCAAGTTGGTTTTTTTAAATAATTGAAGCTTACTGCTTAACAAAACATTGATTGAAATATTTGATACTAAACATTATATCATGTGATATCTGCTTTTCAACTTGCTAATGATGCCTGTGATTAGTCAGGCTGTTTTCACGATCTATGATTGTTGAAAGTAGCAAGTTAATAATGAAGACTAAAAACCTGGTTTTAAAACATGTAAAAACACTGAAATTATTGTTATTTATTTAATAGTTTGATTAAAATCATGTCATTATTATATCATGTTAGTAAGAGTCATGGGTTATCAGTTGTACATTGGAAGACTGATTTTACAGGATGTTTGAATCTTATTCCCTGTGTTTGGTTATTTTTTTCCTTTTTATTGCTTTTGCAGTGGAGTCATGGGGTAATCCACTAATAAAATCTATGGGATGTTTGCTATATAAATGTATTCATCTAGTTTAATTTCAGTCATTAAAGAGAACCAGTAGAAGTCAGTAAAGAGTCAGTAAAAATGGTAGCAGTGATAGAACATTTGGTAGGACATGTGGAATGCTTTTCTTATAAAAGACATAATTTTTATTTTTTTAAACAGTGAACTGTTCATTAATATTTTGGGGAAAGGAGACTGACATGCACATTCCTCAGCAGGGTCTCTGACGATGACACATCTGTAGCAGGCTACAGTTAAAAGATTGTAAAAGCATTGACAAGACAGGTAAGCTTGCAGGCATGATTTATTTCATTTTTTTTTAACGTGCTTTTTCTTCCTGTGTGTTGTCACTGATTAAAAAAACCACTGATGACTCACTGATTTAAAACCCCTTGCTGACTACTCATTTAGGCTTCCTGGCAGGAAGAAGTGCAGATGCTACGGGACAGCTGCAGCCACACCTGCCAGCTGCCCGTGCACAGCTGCTCTGCCAGGCAAAGGAGTTCAGGGCAGGTCTCTGTGCAGGGAGCTGCCAGGGAATGGGCCAGAAAGCCACCAGTTAATCACATCAACACAAAAACTGCATTTATTTCACAGACTTGTTCTGTGAAATCATTTACATGAATACAAGCAGTTCCATGGAAATAGAACATAAACACTGTGAATGTTAATGACACCCAGTTGATGTCTGTGTCCAGCCTCTGCTCTGAGATGGAATCATGATTTCGTTATTGTAATTCCAGGAGTTCTACAGAATTAACTTTCGTATGAGGTACTTCCAGTGTATGAAAAAAACATAAATTCAGTAAGACTAAAATGGATCTGAAACATTAATCATGCCAGTACCATTTTCATGCTATGCTGTAAGATACTGTAGAATTAAATGTGTTCTTTATAAATTGCATATAGACTCAAGATGTTATTTCACAATATCATAAGGAGATTATATATCTACACACAATGAGCTGTTAACACCTTATATGTGGTTCATTGGGATTTACAAAAAATGTAAGTAAAAATGAAAAGTGACCCCCTGAACATGAATTATAACTATAATCCTTGTCAAGAGATATACATTTTACCTAGTTATGTATAAATCCATGTTTACTGAAAAATGGCAGATGACCCATGTGGGAAAGAAAAAGGTGACATATAATAAGCAAATACTGTAAAGACAAATCTTTTCATATAGCAATGTCACAAAAAGCAATAATTTTCTTGGATGGTGTATGAAGATGAAAATGTAAATAAAATTACACCTAACAAAGAGAGAGTCAGGCCAGCTGTTATAAAAAGGCATTTCCTACTGCCTCCTAAAACTTCAGTTTTAACTCTCTGATTACTTGTTGTATAGACTGTCACACTAGCCCTTCTTCTAAAATTGTGATGATGAGGACATTGCTCCTAACAGAGCTCTAGTTCAAATCTGAAGCACTCAGGAAGAAGGTTTTCTCAGAATCTGTTCATTTTCTGTAAATTTTGCAACACCTAAATTTTGCTGCTCTAAGCATGTAATCCTTTGAGAGATCTCTTTGCCCCAGCAAGGTAAGAAATGGGGCTGTCTGTGAACTTCAGATGGTTTTACCTCAAAGGGCTAAATCTTTGAGCTTCAGTCTGGTCATAGCACTCTTCCCTCCTTTGAAGCAACTGATGCATTTCCCTGAACTTCTGAAAATCAAGTCTCAGGTTATCAATAATGGCAGCTAGCAAATTCCTGTAAGAATTGCTAAGTTCCAGACAGAATCCCATGGAGAGCAGCTTCACAGTGAGCACTACAGGTGACAGCTCTGCAGCTCATTTCTTCTCCTTGGCCTTCTCTTCTGTTTTAGTAATGCAAATGATGCTGTGCTTGAAATTTTGGATAAACTGCTTAAATTATCAAAAATTAAAGAGAGACATTTTCTGCATTAACTAAATTTACTCTTTATAATGTTGTTTGAGACATAAGCATCCAGAGGTGACAGAGAAGTAAATAAATCAACAGCTTCTCAATGTCTGTCCTGAAGTTGGACAGACACAAAACTGAAGTCTTAAGTGCACTCCCATAAATGGAGAGAAAAGAAATACTGCAGTTATTTGTGGGTTTATTCACTGCAAAAGGAGACTTGGGGTATCTTACAGCAATTACACAGGAGGTCAGCAGGACACCAGCAGGATGCTATGGGCCTTCTTATTGACCAGAACTATTTTATTCTTGCTTCTACAACTCTACCTCCCCCTAGGTGAGACTCCCACTGTACTGTAAGCTCACTGAAAAAGGAGCTGTGGTTTGTGTTTATTTACCTTGTGCAATGCAAGTAGGTGCTGGTCCTATACTGAGGGTCCTAGTTCCCACCAGAACACAAACACCAGAGCAGTTAATGAAAAGGCAGCCTGTGGTAGCTGGAATGGCAGTCCAGATTCTTTAGTGTAATGGACACCACACCTGAAATAGCAAACTCTGAATGGACTCAGTGGTGTTTGCTTTACACTGGAGTACTGGTAAATCCTTCTGGTATCATCCTGGCAAATTAATTCCATTCACTGGTGTAAAGTGAGCCACATCTTTCATATTAGCAGACAAAACTCACATGTGCTAAAGCATTGCAAGAGGTTAAAGAATGAAGGAGAACTTATCTTCGAAAACAAAATTTAAATAATTTAATAATAACGTAATCGTCAGGTTTCCAGTCTAAGTTTCTGTATCCTGCAGTGGCATGCCTGCTATTTCTAAATAAACCGTGGAGGGGAAAAAGAAGCGAAAAGCTCCTCTCAGCACTTTATTTAAACTTTTTTGTCAGTCTGTTTCGGCCCTGGGCCGGGACTACAGCTCCCAGCAGCCCCCGCGCGGCCCCGTCGCGCCCGGGCGCGCACCCAGCGGCCCGCGCGCCTAGCGCTGTCGTGGCGCTCGCGGGTGAAGGGTCCGCGGCCGCCGCGCCAGGCCCCGCCGTGTCCCCGCGGCGCTCCCGGCCTCCTCCTCATCCTCCTCTTCTTCCTCCTTCTCCTCGTCCCGCTCCTCCCGCGGCAGCTTAGGGCAGAGCCATGAGGCGCGCGGGGCTGGGTAAGCGCGGCGCGGGGCCTGGCCGAGACACGGCAGGGCCCGGCCCCTGTCAGGGCTGGGGGCGCGGGGGGCGTGAGGGGAGCTGAGAGTTGTGGCGCGGCTCGGGAGCATTGGCGGGGAAAGGCCCTCACCCCTGCCTCTTCTTCTGGCCCAGCTGGATTTACGGAGCAGCGCTAGGGTTTGTGTTTTTCATAGAATCATAGATTCGGTTTGGAAGGGATCTCAAAGACCATTTTGGGTCCACCTCCCCATACCGTCACAACTTCCTCTAGATCAGGTTGCTCAGAGGCCCATCCAGCCTGGCCTTGAACACTTCTGGGATGGGGCACCCACATCTTCTTTGGGAGGCCTGTTGCAGTGCCTCACCACCTTCGCTGTAAAGCATTATTTTCTAAAATTGCATTTAAACCTACTGTCTTTCAATTTGAACCCCTTCCCCTTGTCCTGTCTCTGCATGTTCTTGTAAATAGTCTTGCTTCATTTAGTGCTGTTGTTTAGTTGTTCTAACACCATGTTTGAGCCGTGTTCCCATGGATAGGCAGATTTGTTGCTCTTCTGTCAAGTCCTTTCCAAATTCAGAAATTGTTCTTTTGGGTTTGTTTTTTTTTTTTTTTAGTGCTTCTGTATGTTTTCCTACCATGTTTAGGGAGTAAAAACCACAAGAATCCCAACTATTATAAATTTATTACAGATATAATCTGGTGCATATTGGGAAATCCTTGCAGAGTTCCTGCTGAGTGTTTTGAGCAGCATAGGCCTCATTTTTCAGCCAGGAGTCATGTCGATGACTAGAAGGAAACTTTGAACTCCCACGTCATGTTTTACAACCATGTGGGTGCTGTGACGGCACTGTAAAGCTTAGGAGATGTTTACACCTCTGAAATGTATGACTGAGTTCTGGGGCTTCCTCCTAGAAAGTGTTCAGGTGTGTCTGGCACTACCCTAGATTTACTCCTACACTTCAGATTTGTATTGTGCAGTACTATTTTCATGAAATAAAACAAGTCTTGGGAACACTTCTTAGTGCATCAAGAGAGATGTTAGGATGTTTATCATTAAAAAGTAGGCATTTGATAGTGCTTAGATCTTCAGTCCTTTCCTTTGTCAGACTGACAGCTCCCTCTTGGTTGGAGTGGAGGCCACCCAGCTGTGTGCTGTTTAGGAGGAGGGGATGGATGTTTATGCAAGGAGTTATGAAGAAAGAGCATGCCTGCTTGAGCCTGTCTCTGGCAAACAATGCCTTAGGGATCATCCTGAAACTTTTTTAAAAACATCTTCGGGAAGGTTAAGCAGAACACTTAAATGTCTGTTAACAGCTGCAGTAAAATTTTCTGCTTTATCTTGACATTTCAGCCGTCACTTCAGAACTATAGGCTGGAAATAGAAGCTGGGTACCAGCACCTCTGAAGTTGTCACCAGCTTGTCACCTGGTACCTCTCTCTTAGCCCACAGTTATGTTTGGTTGTGTCCCTGTCACATGCCAATGAGCAGTGTAGCAGGACAGCCCATAGAACTGCCACGCTGAAGTTTCTGTGCTTCCCATGAATAGTTGTAGCCAGGCTTCTTCCTTCTGCTTCCTATGACATAAAAGAAGCAGCTGTGTCTGTTGAAAAGGTTTGGGGCACTTGTTCATGCCTGCATTGTCACAGTCCATTTAAGAGACGCAGTTTTGGTGTTTTGGCATGAAGCCGTATGGTATCTTAACCTTATGGTATCATAATCAAGATCATGTGTCACTTGATAGGAAGCACTGTAGTTAGATGCACTTGTAAAAACAGACACAGTGAGAACAACCCTGACTCCATAAATCATAACATTTTACTTACTTTTCTGTGTTAGGCATTGGCACTTTTAATTTAGGTCCAGGTAGAAAGGCTTCTTGAATCACTGATGAAATGAAAACGTGCATTTCATTGCAGTCTACAACTTCCTTGTGAGGGGAAGAGGAGGGGCGGGCACTGATCTCTTCTCTTTGGTGACCAGTGAAAGGACTTGCGTCAGGGGAAGTTTAGGTTTGATATTAGAAAAAAGGTCTTCACCCAGAGGGTGTTTGGCCACTGGATCAGGCCCCCCAGGGAAGTGGTCACAGCACCAAGCCTGACAGAGTTCCAGAAGGGTTTGGACAACACTGTTGGGCACATGGTGTGACTCGTGAAGATGGTCCTGTGCAGCACCAGGAGCTGGACTTGGATGAGCCTTGTAGTCCCTTCTAACACAGAAGATTCTGTGATTCAGTCTTGTTGAAGATCTATCTAGCTTAACTTAGAGTAACAATTTACAAGTACAAATGAAAAAGTTTTCATTACTTAGATCTAAAGGATGGCTTAATGAGTAAATATAAAATATCAAAATAGTATTGTAATGCTGTATTTTAAAATGATAATATTATGTATGCCAAGCATATAGTGAAGCTTTCTGAGACAGAGCTCTCAACGTGAATGTGGTTGGTGTCTTCTCTCCTTTTTTTTCTCAAAAACAAAAAGTGCACCTAAACACAAAAGTCTTTAAAGTGTATTTAAAAGGCATTCATTTTTATGTGTCATTCTCACTAGGCAAGAAAATATTTATTAATGTTACAACTGGATTATTAGTTGAATTAATCTAGTGGGATCTTTATCATAAAGCTTATAGTAGTTCTTTTCTGGTTGCCTTTCTAAGTCTTTATCTCCATTGTTTTCAGTTCTTAGATTGGAGGTCTAAGACTGATTTTTGTCTTAACTGGATATAACTTTAATTCTCCTGTGCCCATGCTGCTGTCCAACTGCTGTCTGTAGGAGATCTTTATTAGAGGTTGGAGGAGGTGAATGTGTGGGGCTGAGCAGCTTTCATTTCCTTCTGCCCCTCATACTGTGCTGACTGAGTCGTCTGGATGACAGTTCTGAAGCTCCATCATCCCCAGTAAAAGGCAGGAGCAAGGATAGAACTGCAGAATGGTGACTGAAACAGCAGTGCTCTGCTCAGAGGCCTAGCTTCTGCTCTGAGGTCTTGTTTATAAAGAAACTCACATGATCATAGTATAGTTTCTCCTTTAAAGGTGTGGTTGAGTGATTTTTTTTTGTTAGAGAACAGTCTCAACTTTCCTGTTTTCAGTTTGATTTACCACATTTAATGGCCTCAGTGTTTTGTTCACGTCTCCTTGAAGTGCCTGGATTGAGTTCCGTAGAACTCATCTGAAAACACTATCAAGGAAAAAGAAAATTACAGCTATTCCTCAGTTTCTCTTCTTTTATTTGCATATTAAAGGGTAACTTTAGTTAGAAAAAGGCTGGGTCTCTGCTCCAGTGGTGTTGTGTCTCTGACTACTGACTGTTGTGTTTACAGGCGATGGGGCAGCTGCAGGGAGCTATGGCTATGCCAACAGTGGCTACAGTGTTTACGAGGAAGAGAATGACAGGTTGACAGAAAGTCTGCGTACAAAAGTCAGTGCCATTAAATCGGTACGTATTTAACTACAGTGCTATCACCACATTCATTAAATTCTATTGTGTGAGTCAGGGAAAGAGCAGACTTAGTTTAAAACAAAAATTTAAAATTATTCTATGTAAACCTGGTTGGATGTCAGGTGACCACCAAAGCTGCTCTATCACTACTCAGGTGGATGGACAAGGGAGGAAAAAGTCCAGTAAAAGGTTCATGCATCAAGATAAGGGCAGGGAGAGATCACTCACCCATTACCATTATGAGCAAAACAGACTTGACCTGGGGAAATGATTTTATTGACAGTCAAATCAGTAGGGTAATGAGAAATAAGACTTTAAATGCTTTGCCACTACCTTTCCCTTTTTCCTGGGCTTAATTTCACTCTCAATTTTCTCTATTTCTTAACCCTTAGTGGTGCAGGGGAATGGGGAATGGGAATTGCAGTAAAAAAAAAAAAAGTAATGTAGAAACAGCTTTTAGAAATAGCATGCTAATATCCTCTGAAGGAAAAGTTTGGTGTTCTGATGATTCTATTCCTTTCAGAGATTGAGGACTTCTTTCAAACAAGTCTAACTGAAAGACAGCTCTGAGATTAAAGTCGTCTGGATTTCTTGTTCTTAAAAGCTTAAAGTTTTATAAAGCACATTCCAGTGAATTTTTTAGGCCTGAACTCACTTGAAGTCTTACTGCTAATACGGCTGCTTAAAATTGGTTTAGTCTCAAAGAGAAAGCAAACAGGTTTAGAATAAGAATTTGGAGTGAGTTGACGGGTAAAAAAAAAGCTTTTGACCCTTGTTATCAAATTTCATTTCTTGTCTCCTGCTGTGGTATGTTACATTTCAAAATCCATGTATGTCAACAGAGCAGTTCATGGTGCCCCAAGGAGCTCTTTCTGGAGCTGCATCTTTTAGTGCAGTGGGATAATCTTGGCATATGGAATAGCCTTCACATAATCTTCCAAGAAGCCTCATGTAAAATCAGTTTCACTCTTGATTGAAATACACTGGTATAAGATAATGAGATTCAAGTTTTGACATGTGAAAACAAATGGGTTTTGGCTAATCCAAAGCATGGAGTGCATCTCTCTCCATCCTGTGAGTTGAGCAGGTTGTTCAAGGCCAGAATGCTGATACCAGAGGAACAGCTGCTAAGACTCAGGCTCAGTGCCAGTTCTCCCCTGTTTAACTCCAGAGCTGCTTTAAGCCAAGGCTCTTCTGGCTGGCTCAAAGGCATCACCTTTGTGATGTTGTAGCTCCAGCTGTACCTGTTCTCATACCTCCCTGATTCCAACCCTAACCTGACTTCACTTCCTGGCTTGACCTGGGACCTGTCTCATCAGGCTTCTGCCCAGGCTGTTGCTGGCCCTGGTCTCAGGACTGGCTCTCCCTGGCCTGTGCAGCTTTCCTCCTCGTCCTGCCGTGCCCTTCTGTTCTATGACACAAAGCAGAGGAAGGCTACACAGGTTCACTGAAGAAAGTCCCGTTCATAGCACAGCAGCAGCTTGGCAGAAGAGATGTGTCTGCAGGTTACAAGTATCAACTCCAGCAACACTTTGAGTCAAACCAGTGCTCATGGTTCTCTCTGCTGTGTGCCAGCAGTTTTAACAGTTTTTCTGGAAAATGGGTTATTGTTACTTCAGGCTTGACTAGATCTTGAGTTTTTAAAAGTTCATGCAATAACTCAAGTAAGACATTATCTGGAAAAGGGGAAGAGGAGCATTGAGTACTTTTTGTGTCTCTTTAGACTCATCTAGTTAGATGAAAAATCTTTATTTCCTTAAGGGTTATTGATAGAATACTTTGCATGTTATTTTGTTTTTTGAAAATATCAGGTATTGCTTTCACTGGGGAAATGCTAGTCACGTCACGTATTTTTGACTGGATTCTCTGTGTATTAACTGATTACTCATACTTAATACCTTTTATTTTTCATTTTTGGGGTTTTTTTATAGCTTTCTATTGAAATTGGAACAGAAGTTAAAAACCAGAATAAAATGTTATCAGAAATTGTAAGTATTGAATAACTAGCTTTCTTTAAATATGGGTCAGGATTAGAAGTTAATAATGTAAAGCATCCTGTCTTTTAGTATGAACATGGGTATTAAAATATTGACAGCTTATTGTTCTAACATGTGACTGGTTTATCAGCAGGATCAGTATTTCTGTTCAAAAAGATAAGATGTGCAAATACATTATGCTTCAGATACAAGTATATATTTTCAATTAGCAAATGTCTAATATCATTAAAAAGACTATTCTATATTTAATTTTATTCGAGAATGGAAGAAGGAAGCAAAAAATAAGGGAGTCAAAAATACCTTTTTTGCTTACACTTTGCTTTGGCTTGGGGTAAAAATAGCACTGGGTAAATGGGTGAAAGTTTTTCCTGTTTAATTTTTGCCTCAAAAATAATTTTAGTTTTGGAAACTTTGAAGAAACAGGAAAAATTATATTTAGTGAGCTATAAGGGTATTTCTGTTCTCAGAGGAACATGTTTTTTATTCTTCTGTTTGCTTTTTTTTTTTTTGAAATGTAGGAGAATGATTTTGACTCTACGGGTGGACTTCTAGGTGCAACTATGGGCAGACTGAGAACACTCTCCAGAGGAAGCCAGACAAAGCTGTTATGCTACATGATGCTCTTTTCATTATTTGTTTTTTTTGTAATATACTGGATTATTAAACTGAGGTGATGTATGTTACCTCTGGTTTACATTGTGTAATTTCAACTCGAGTCTTAGTTAATGAAGACATTGATTTAAAGTGGCACATTTTGTGGATAAAACACAGTGAAATTGTTGTAAATTGCATTAACAATTAATGCGAAGTTTTATGTACAGTTTTCTTAATGTATCAGAGTTTTTCCATCGTCCCCTGTTTTGGGGGGATTATTTGTAAATATGCAGAAACTGATAGTGTAGCGGGATGGATTTTTTTAGGGGAAAATAATTTTTAGAATTGATTGAAAAAATTCAAAGAAAAATGGTTATTTGAAAATGAAGTAATTGCAGAATTTCAAAGCTTTCTTTTTCATTCTGCTTTTCATTCTGGGCCATGCTCTAAATTAGAGCACCAGTTTCAGGCATAAAGTAATTTCGGTTGCAGAAGGACAAAGAATCTGTGGATCTTTCTAAACAGATCTTACCTGTGGATTTTTAAAAGGCTGGTCTGAAGCTAGAAAATGTAATAGTGGTACCCCTAAAATTACTTTTGTGGTTAGATGTGATAATGTTTAAGTAGCTTAAACTACTTTTTGGCAAGAAGTTACTTAAAACTGGATTTATATTTTTTAATTTAAATGTGACAGATCATGTTTACACATCTACTCTTTTAAGCAAATGCCTTTCATCATTGGGACCAACCAATATGGACACAGTACAAATATTTTCTTTATATTTAAAGTATTTAAAACTGAAATGATTCCATTGAATCACTTGAACTTCTACCATTAGTATGTTTACTTTTCAATTAGTGATAGTCCCTAAATCTATAGTGCTTGATGTCTGAAATACAATGGCAGATATTTTGAATTTTATTTTAGAGCATATTATGGTGCATTTGTTGGAGGCACAGTCACATTAAGACGCTTATTATTTTGAAGACTTATTTTGAATACTTAGCTTTGGCTCACCAAGTAGTTTCTAATCATTGAGGCTATTATATTGCTGAGTTTAAAACTAAAAAAAAAATTAAGTTTCCTAGATACTGAAATTGTATCCACAATTTTTGAAAAACTTTTCTAGAAATACTGTATGATGTCTTATCATTAATAACCAATTATGAACTTACAAATAAAGTGTCCTGTAGTATTATCCTCGCTAGTGTTGTTAATACACATTTTTTTCTACTGTAGAATACCGGTGTATTTTTTTTGAAATGGTGCTGTATTTAAGGGGCAATTTTAATTTTTTTAGTCAATAATACAGGCTGCCTCCTCCAGCTTAAAATGGCTGTTTTAGGAAGACTTTAAGTAATTCTGCACAGTTTTCATATTAACGTGTTTATTTTTTTATTTTATAATATCTTTATATTAACATGTTTATTTTAATATTTTTATTAATAATTATGCACAGAACATGATACATTGCTGCTGAAGTTCAGGCTGCTGCAAGCTCCAGATACACTTATGTTTGTAGAATTCTGCAAATAAAAATTGAACACTACTCCCATCACCAAAAATCCATGACAGAGTGAAGTACAAATTGATATGGATTCAGCAAAGATGACAGAGCTCATTTTGATGATTGCTTGCTAAAAGTGAAAGATAGGGAAGGTACCTGTAATTGAGAGGAAAGGCACTGTTCTGGGTTTGCTTATGGCAGAGAATCATTTGTGTCATAATTGTTCATCTTGAAAGCAAAGCTATACTGAAAAGAGATTAAGCTACATAGCTTTCATTCATATGGAAGTTTGGTTTTGTAATGTTCAGCTTAGATGCTCTAAAGTGCAGATAAAGCTTGACTAAAGAACAAATTTTTTTCTGTGTGCTTAGCATGGGTCATTGGAAAACTTAAGTTAACCCACTGAAAAAACAGAATGCAGGAGGCTGCAAGCTTTCAGAGTGCTTCATATCAACAAAAATTTGACACTGGAAAACACAGAGTGGTAATGGCGAAAGACCTTGGTGCATTTTGATGGCAAAATTACTGATCTCTTTTCCACTTGAAGTGTACTGGCTGCTTGTCACCTTTAGTGTGCAGCACAAGTCACGCTCTTGCTTTCTTAATATTCAAGGAAGATTGGAGATGCGTCACTCTTGGAAGTATATCCATGTATTTGCATATGATGGAAAGCATGGTTTCGTCTGAGCCACCTCCTATTGACATCAGTCTCAAGTCCCTGCAGAAATAGAAAGGTTAGATTTAAACATTTGCATGCTGTTCTGATGGTGCTCTGCTGGACAGCTTGCCCAGAATTACGTACACATGGCATAGGAACTCCACGTGCCTGCAGAACACCTCATCCAGTGGCCCCTGGGCAGGTGGTCTGTGGTGCTTCCCACAGCATCCCTGCTGGGCCTGTCCCAAACCTGTAGGTGCCTAAGCCTGAAGCTGAACTGTAGGAGGGGAGGGAGCTTTCCCAAGGCCAGCAGCAAAAAGCGTTGCAGCACTTAAAATTCGTTTAAGTGTGGTAAGAGTCGACCAGCCCGAGGTATTGGAGAATTGCACAGAAAGGGTACAATTTCTATTCATGGTTTTTAACCAGTCCAGGTTTTCTTAATGGCTATGTAAGATCTGGTAAAAGCCTTATTAGTATTATATAGTACCTTAATGTTACATAGTAGAATATTACAAGTAGTGTTGTAAAGTATTCTAGTACAGTTTTATATAGTATATAGAGCTTCTGTGCTTTAAAAATGAATGGCTGCTTCAAGAATATTTACTCTTTGATTTGATATTTCTAATCACACTCGTTTAAAACCTGCCATTACCATCCCTAAGTCATCCCTAGCAGTGTTGCCTAAGTTCCCAGTACTAGCCAGAGTGCTAACTGCTGCAGCCTCGAGCAATTTTACTCACAAATATTTTACCTCTGGGGAGAAGAAAAAAACACCACCTATAAAACTACTAGAACAATTCTAAACAACCTCTACTTAACAACCTGAAGATTCCCCACCTTCCTATGGGCCTTGCTGAAGGCAGCAGACCTGGAACAGTGGTAGGTTGCTCGTTCTTAGCACTGTGGTGCTGTCTGCTTTGTCAAGCTGCAGAAAGCCCCTGCCAATGCTCAGCATTTGGCATCTTCACTGTAGCAACAGCAAGTAACTAATCCTCAGAACTCCTCTGTGATGTCAATAGAAATCCTCTCTCTGCAGCAGGAATCCTGGACACACGGGGCTTGTTTATATGAAGTTATAAACAGGCAGTGGTAAGATCTGGCTTTGGTGGTGTGTGTGACAGACAAGTCAGGCTGTCACATATAGACACACTTCAACAAAACAGAACACCTTTCATATGTTTTGTGCTTGTGTGTATCTTTACGAATTTGCTGATAATTATATTTTTGTCTCTATGGGTGAGATAAGGAATATCTCTTCCAGAATCTACAGCCAGGTGACCAGCTGATGTCTCCTCTGGGGAGAAAGGACAGAAGGTTTCCCCTAATTTAAGTGGATTAAGATGACAAAAGACAAATGATTTCAATCTAGTAGTTCTCTTCTAGGAAAGAAACTTGCTTTCATCATAAGAAAACAAAACCATGGGATTAACTATCCTGCCAGAAACTCTATAAGAAAGCTGGGGAAGAGGACATAGGAAAGTCCGCTTGTATAGCAGTTATTTAATGTATGCTTATGGTTTGATAGTTTATATTATATCAAGAATGCATTATTAATACATCACATAAATATTTCAATATATATAAATACTGGAATTTAATTGCTTTTGTAAGGGACATTGTTAGGCTACTGCTGTAAATGCTTTCGATCTGGCTCCGTAAGATTTTGCTTTTGATTTCTGCATCCCCTTTTTGTTGCCACATGACAGAGCAGCACATCCTGAACTACCTGCTGCCCTGCTGAGGTGAGCACCAACCTGTGGTGGCTTCCCCCGACCAAGAACCATGAGGAAACAGCCTGCAGCACACCAGCCAGTTTGTAAAGGTGTCATTTTGAGGAGCCAAACCTCTAGCTACTTGCTGAATGCTGTTGAATGCTGTTTTCTTTAGAGAGTGGGAGTTAAACTGAGGAAGGAGAGAAATCCAGTTATTGTGTTCTTTCTCTCTAAAATATTCCCTACAAAGAGTTTCCTTACATTCAGGAAATCCCATGAAATACTCACTGTAGATTATAAGACTTCACTCAACCACATCAAGAAATAAAAATGGTAAAAATTAATCCACATTTTAATGAATAAAAGCAAAAAAAATTCTTCAATGTCAAGTTAAAAACTGCACTTAGGAGGGAGGGTGAGGAGCCATTCCCACTCACCAAACTCAATTCAGGTTATCAATAACTTCTAGTTAGGTAGCAACAGGAAAAAAAAGCTCTCCTTGTTGTCAAATCGTGTTTCCCATCTCCATAGAAGCAATGTCATACAGCCTTCTGAAATGTGTCAAGCACTGCTTCAAGGAGAAAAAAAAGCTCATTTTAATCTTGGACTACCCTAATTTGAAGGTTATGAGGTAACAAAGTTGTTCAAATTATTAGGAACCCTCTAATTAAGAGCCTGAAAATGTAATTCTGAATAGTGTCATCCTAAATAGTCTGCTGTTTAACATCCCTCTGCACCCTGAGTGACATTTGGACCTTGTTTCACACAAGCTAAGCCATGTATGTCTACTACCCTGCTCCTAAAACTTTTGGTCCCTGTTTTCCTAATAACTGGGGCTGGTCCTTATCCTAGTCTGAGCTCTCTCTTATGTGTGATTTCCCTAGCCATAATGCAGGGACAGGTACCCATTCACAGCACAAGCAAATTTTTAGATATTGTAATGTGCTCTATGCAGCTCCTGGCACACTAAATCTGTCTGTAGCTTCAAGCTGGTCAAATGCGATCGTGTTTGCACTTGTGCCTTCCAGTACCATTTATTACCAGCTGAGAAGCTGCTCTACACTACATTTTCCTCTGGAAAACCATATGGAATTGGATTGAAGTCCTTTCTGTTCCTAAACAATCTGAGAGGAGCCTGCTGCACTATATACAATGCAGGTCTCTTCACAAAACTTCAAACTCCTGCCAAAATAAACAGAAATTTTCTTTCCCTTTTCTGGCAGTGCTGGTCAGACATGGGGAAGAAAGGGAGTTTTGGTGGCTTAAGCCCTGTTTTCCCCTAATAGCCTGGCTTTATGGCAGTGGTTCCTCATAGATGCTGCTCTCCACTTCCCTGGTTAGAAATCCTTACCAAGGTCTGCATCGCTCAGAGTAGCACTGCTTCCCAGGCCATTTATACACTGCTTCTTTTCAGCACGAACTTGATTACAAAACCTTTACCCTTTTTTTTTTTTTTTTTATGACTAACGATTTTTAGGTTTTAATTATTTTAAGGTTATATTACTGCCAAGAATTTTCTCCAAAAAATGTGCTGATGAACCTTCAAGCCTAATATTTTGTGACTTCTTCTATCTTCAGACTCAGCTAGATTAGTTATAGGCTGTCCAAATTATGCAGAATCTGAAGGAGGCTTTGTTCTAGTGGGAAGAATTTGAGCTGGTGCCACCCAGGGCAGCAGGCCTCTGACCAGACTGGCACAGCCCACAGCTGTGCCTGCCAGCTCCCATGACCCTGTCCCTTCCCCCTCAGGGACATTCTGAAGGCCAAGATGAGGGAACAGGCATCACCTTGGCTTGCTCTAAACATAAAGCACAAAGTAGAGCATAGCTCTACTTTAAAGCCATCACTGTACAGCTGCCTGCTTTGATTTGCTGTCTTAAAGGTTGATGCCATGCGCTTCATCTCCTAAAACCCTTCTCAAGGTACTCATAAAAGTCAAAGTGGTAGACAGGCATCTGTCTCAAAGCCTCGGCAGAAAAAGGGGGACACTGCAGATTTCAGAGATGACAGGAATTGGTATTAAGTCTTGTCTCAGCAGTTAGCTAGAGACTTCAAAGCAAATTGTTTTTGTCAGCAGAAATGGATAGGTTTCATTTTGTTTGGTACAACTATAAATTGCTGTAATGAAAAAAACTGATTAAACCCCCACAGCTGTCCGGACTCACTCAAGTTTAGACATGTTTTGTAAAGAATGAAAAATTATAAATAATGAAATAAAAAATGAAACTGAATGAAGTATTTGAACTAACTTTTTAAATATGCAAAGGAAAAAAAAAATCTAGATGGAAATATATTACTTATTTTAAAAATCCACTTAAAAT